TGAGGCCGAGGGCCTGATTTGTGAGGATGAGTGTGGATCGGGGCTGCCCGCCTGCAGCATACTCTGAGTGAGGCCGGGGGCCTGATTGGTGAGGATAAGTGTGGATCGGGGCTGCCCGCCTGCAGCATACTTAATTATTATCGCACGTGAGTTGTCCGTGCAGATTATAGCGCTTGGGCTGAAGGAGCCCCTCCGGAGTCTGTACACACCCCCAATGAGCGCAGGTACCTAGTGAGTGCGAGTGCCGAGTGCTGAGTGACTGGGAGGCATGAAGGATTGTGAGGTATGCCTGAGTGGCACGAGTGACTGAGGTTTGCCCGAGGGGCTGTATATGATTGATATTTTGCCCGAGGGGCTGTTTATGATTTCACCATTTTTGCTCACCTTTGCATTGAGCCTTTGTTGGAAAAATATCTTTAAATGATTTTTTTTTACTGGAACGGAGTTTAAACGAGATGTTTGATTCAAATCCTGATTTTAAAAGCATGTGGTATTTTACTGAGATTTCCTGATATGAACGTTATATGCTTTATTGCTCGTCACTACTGCTCAGTCTTTATTTATTGTTGTTACTTACTGAGTTGGCGTACTCACGTTACTCCCTGCACCTTGTGTGCAGATTCAGGTGTAGCTGGATACGGCAGCGATTATTGAGTGTTCTGGTTGCAGATTTTTCTTGGAGATAGCAAGGTAGCTGTTTGGCGATCGCAGCCCTTACCCTTCTCCCTCTTATCTTCCTCTAGTTGTATTTAGCTATTTTCCAGGCTGAATTAGCCTTGATATTNTTGAACTCTTAAAATGGAGGTTTTATGTTAAATAACCTTGAAATTATCTTTGAAATGAAAATATCGGTTGTTTTGGAAATGAGTCGGCTTGCCTAGTTCCACGATAGGCGCCATCACGACAGAGGTTAGTTTGGGTCGTGATACTAACACTCTCCCTCAAGCCGGTACATATAAATCATATGTACCGAGCTTGTTACATATATAACTAATACGAGTACCAGTGAGGGACTTGGTGAAAATATCAGCAAGCTGATCATTCGACTTCACAAATTTTGTAGCAATATATCCTGAGAGTTTCTTTTCTCTGACGAAGTGACAGTCAATCTCAATGTGTTTAGTCCTCTCGTGGAACACCGGATTTGATGCAATATGAAGGGCAGCTTGGTTATCGCACACAAGTTCCATCTGACTGATTTCACCAAATTTCAACTCCTTGAGCAATTGTTTGTTGATCCAAATTAGCTCACATGTTGCCATAGTCATTGCTCGATATTCTGCTTCTGCACTAGACCGAGCAACTACATTCTGTTTCTTGCTCTTCCAAGACACCAAATTGCCTCCTATAAAACACAATATCCAGACGTAGAACGTCTATCATAAGGTGATCCTGCCCAATCAGTATTTGAGCGTCCAACGATCTGCTCATGACCTCTATCCTCAAACAATAACCCTTTGCCTGGAGCCGACTTTATATACCGAAAAATGCGGACAACTGCATCCCAATGACTATCAAAGGGAGAATTCATAAACTAACTTACAACACTCACAAGAAAGGAAATGGCAGGTCTAGTCACTGTGAGATAATTTATTTTACCAACCAGCCGCCTATATCTTGTAGGATCGCTAAGCGGCTCCCCCTGTCCTAGCAGAAGTTTAGAATCCGGACCTATCGGAGTGTCAACAAGTCTACAGCCTGTCATTCCTGTCTACTCACGAATGTCTAAGGCATACTTCCGCTGTGAGATCATAATACCTGAGCTAGACTGAGCGACCTAAATACCCAGAAAATACTTTAGTCTACCCAAATCCTTAGTCTGAAAGTGTTGAATGAGATGTTGCTTCAATTGAGTAATACCATCCAGATCATTGTCGGTAATAACAATATCGTCAACATAGACCACCAAGAGCAAGGAGGGGAGTTGTTGGAGTGAGGGAGGGAGCCGAGGGTCTATCGGAAACAGCCTCTCTACCCCAGGGTAGGGTAAGGTTTGCGTACACACTACCCTCCCCAGACCCCACTAGTGGGATTATACTGGGTTGTTGCTGTTGTCAACATAGACCACCAGATAAATACAGAGACTTGAAGGAGAATGCCGATAAAACACAGAATGATCATGTTTGTTAGTTAAATAGTTATATGTAAATAACCCTAATCCCATATGTAGTTGGAGTAGAACATGTATTATATATATAGGACTCATTGTATCACTGTAAATACATCAATAATATAATTTTTGGAGTTATTAATTCTCACAACCTGAAAAGACAGCATCCCCAGGAATAGTCCCTTTGTTAAGATTTTCTCTTGAACCTCCATCTGTAGTATATCTGTTAACCATCAGGTAGTCAATGATACATAACAGTAAACTCCAAAACGAAAAACAGAGCAAAGCATAATAGACTGAAACCCAACCTTAAAAGATATTTTTTTTGAGAAGGTAAAGTATCCAGTATATTCAAAAAATCATCTTGTGCTGGACAACCTTAAAAGATATTTGATATTTAATTCAGGGAAAATACAGCCACACAGACACGCGCACGCGGAAGAAAATATCGAAAGGCTGCAATCAAGCAACCGTATTACACTTTTGAGAAGGTTTAAGTCAAGCGAGAGGATCAAACAAGATCATAACAGCAACTTACAGAATAACATCATCTCCAAGGTGTTTGCGGGCTATCTTTGCTAAATGATGCAGGTAGGCCTTGTCATCTCCATATGAACCAAATTCATTTTCTATCTGTCCCATTTTCACCATTCAGTGTAATCTACATCTATTGGCTTATACAAAAGCTGAAACACGGTAAAAAGAAAATCATGGAATACCAAGTATTTCATCATGTATAAAATAGAACTTCCATCATAATCGTATTTGACTTCCAGGTAGATGAAAAAGTCCATGGAGTGGATATTTATGATGATAATTCTAATTTTAATGGAACAGAAGTAAGTCTTTTAAAAGATGTCATCTCAAAGCCAAAAATAACATTAGGTAAAGTTCTATATATGTTACTGTTGAAGACATAATTAAGGAAATAAAAATATAGCCTCTCTAAAATCTTAAACTTTCAGACGAGGTAGTTACAGAATTCAACATGATATCAAAGCCAGCCTTTAACAAGCCCGTTTTAGCACCCATAAGTTTGCATTGAAGTTCATGTATGAATTGCAAAGGGTTACACGTGAGGGGGGATGTTGAGTTATGTTATCTTGGCAACCTTTGGCAAGCCCGTTTTAGCACCCCATAAGTTTGCATTGAAGTTCATGTAGGAATTGCAAAGGGTTACACGTGAGAGAGGATGTTGAGTTATGTTATCTTGCCACACAGGATGCCAGTTGCCTATCGTCTTCCAAAGGAGTTTATAAGATCTCGGGTCACTCCAAACATAACCTTAAGGTTTGAGTTGAAAAGATCGGATCAGGTAAAGTCTTGAGTTCAAGTCTCAAAGTTATCTAGTATTTCCACATGCAGGAAAAGAATCAAACCCCATGTGAAGGGCGGACGAGTTGGGAACACAATTAAGTAAATAAGAATGTATCTTATCTGAAAGATTAAGCTTTTAGATGAGGCAGTAATCTTAAAATCTTGGAGAAAGTATGTAGTGCAATTTATTAGAAAGGGTTTGGGACAGAGAAAAAGATATCAAGTAAATAGGGGTAAATGCACACTCCTATTCTTGCTAAGTTTTCACGAGCATTTGAGTAATAAGTAGGAGCTCGCAGTTTAAGCAAAGGGCATTTAAGTTTATCTGATTATTCTAGCGCATTAAATGGAACTTCATATAAACCTTAAGAAGGCATTTTATATAAACTTACCACAATAACAGCTAAAAGAATTACTATCTTGATTAAATATAGCGTTCACATATGTAAAATAGGAGGTCACCCTAAATTTGTACCATTTTTTGATATGTTGCCATTTGTTTTTGTTTCAGAAAAAAAAAAACAATGAGAGATGTCATGACTTTAATTGCATCTAATATCGCATCTCTGTAACCAAACACTGGAATCAAGTATCAGCGAACATTAAAGACATACCCTTCATATCTCCTTTGTGGGATGGATAAAATATAACTTAAGCTTATCAATTACTCATCCTGTTACTCACAATTTAGGTACAATGTTACGAAGGGTTATCAATCTACCACATTACTAAGACAAGCAACAGGATTTCAGATAGTTGCCAGAAGACATCTCATACTCATACTTTAGCTCTGCACACCAAAAGTTTCATTATAGGAAACTAAGAAGCACACTTCCAATAGATATTCCATATCCGTTAAGGTTTGAGTATTAACATATCCACGCTCTGATGATCCTTCATCAAAGTTTTAGTGAAGTATTTCCTGCGCAGATCATAGAATTTGCAGGTGACACATCATATTTGTTCAGAACTTACAGCACCTAGCTTTGCTGCTGCATTTTGCTATAACCTATTATTCTAGATGTGGAGTTGTATTTATCTGGATTAATAGCTATGTTATTTTAATGAAGCCAGCTTTGGTAAGTTCAATTCACCTGGACCATCATTATAGGGCCGCCATTTTTGTATGCATAAGAGACTATCTTCGGCAGCAAAATTCCCCACCATCTCTCAACCTGTAATCATTTTTAAGATTACATACAATACCACTAAATCAAGCAAATGATGCTAAAAATGCTAAAAAAAAAAAAAAAAGTTGCTCCATCGATGTTGAGTGGATTAGGCTCGCAAGACTACCATTAACTTTTTCTCTAAAGAAAAAAACAAAGGATGAAACAGAAAAACAGAGATCAGTTGTGCGATCGACAATTTCTTAAAGTTTCAGTCACAAACTCATAGAAAGAAAATACGTTGTTAAAACTGCTATTTTAATCCTATCTCTCCTGCACATAGGAGAGGCACTACTTTCTACTCATCGCAGCAAAAAAAGAATTGATGTGATGACTACCAGAAATCCAGAAGACAGGCATTCGGCATCACTTTCTCTTGAAAAGTTATAACTATAACCCATAAAGAGTCAAGAAGAGCACATTAGATTCCCAATTATCTGCAATGGTGATCGACAGGATATGAGGAGTTCTTAATGAAGCGATATAGAATACATCCATGTGGAATGCATCTTTAGTTAGGCCTACTTAACTTAGGAAATTAAGTCCGCAATTTTACTAGGTAGGCTTCACATTTATTTCTAACTTCTTGTCATTCACATCATGTTGCTTGTGTAAGATAACCTATATAAAACGATTGCAGTGCAGTCCTGGATCTAGTTGAGTGATTGTTTACTTGAAAATGAATATCAATCTTGTTTGATGTTCTTTTTCCTTTCCTTTTCTTATGGTGGAGATTAATCATATTATCTCTACCAGCAATTGAGAAATCACTATATTTAATTGTTAGTTTATAGATATGTATAGTGTAGTCTTGTCCCACATTGGAAGAGGAGTAATATCTCCTTGTAGTGTATAGCTATAAATAGGGACCTCTTGTATTGTATTTATCATCCAATATCAATAACATATTTTCTCCCGTGCCTTCTCACATGGTATCAGAGCATTAGTGAGAAAAGATCGTTGTGCGTCATTCCAGCGTTAACCGGGAAGAAAGAACTTAGTCATCGTGTAATTTTTCCGGTGACCTAAGGCTTGTCTAAGTGAAAGTCACTTTCTGTCGNCCAGCGTTAACCGGGAAGAAAGAACTTAGTCATCGTGTAATTTTTCCGGTCACTTTCTGTCGGTGTTGTGCTAAAACCAACACCACCACGAGGTAAATCACCCTCCGACTACCAACTCCTGAAATTTTATCCGGCAGAAAAGCCGCCACGCGCCGGCAACAACTTTTCCGGCGAGGGTTCCGGCCACTTTCCGACCATTTTTTCGCGAAGCTTCTTCAGGACATTGTGCTCTCCTCAAAATTCCGAGCCTACCCATCTAATTCAAATCAAATTTCGGCCACTTTTATATTTTTCCGGTGTGAACATTGACCTTTCTGGCCATTATTTGAAAATATTTCTTCAGGACAGCTTGCTCGCAAAGGAATTCCGAGTCTATCCATCCTGGTTACAACAAATTCCGACAAGTTTGGAATTTTCCGGCGAGCTACAGTGTTTCCGGCACAGAACAGTGTTCTGTTTTCCCGCTGTAAACAGTGTTTTCAAGCTATTTCTTCAGTTTTCTCACAGGAGTTACTTATTTCTACTATTTCAAGTTAACC